CCCCGCACCCTCCCACCCTCACCCTGAGTATACTCCATTCTGCAACCCTCATTCCAAACTCTTATGATAATCATAATGCCCTAAAATATATTACTTTTAAACTGTTCTCTCCCTCATTGGCTTCAATGCAGTATACATAATTTATCCAGTTTTAATTCAAGAACTACTTAAGATGGTTGATTTTATTATTTAACGCATCTTTATTTTGTATAGAACATTTTCCTTTGAATCTCTTTTAATAAGAAGAAGAGGTTGTGTTCTATTCCCAGGCCATTAAATCACGAAATTTATTCTGTTAATGGTAATCAGATAATAAACATTTTGGGGTTTAGCCATGCATTTTTGCAATGGCATATGGTCTCGGTTGGAACTTTAGCTTTGCTATCATAAAGTAAAAGCAGCCATAAACAACTCACAAGTTATATTATTATGACCTGTCAAATAGAATTCAAGTATTAAATTATAAAGTTGATTACTTGAGGATGATTTTGAAATTGCCAAATGACTCAAAGTTAATCTATTAATACTCCCTACTTTTAAGGCTTTTAGTATCTTGGGCAACAAAATCAATCTCCATTTCCTTTTGAACTGTTGACATTTCTTAAGGTCATCAGGAGTGCTTGTTTTCAAACTGTTTCTTTTATTAGCACAACAGGTTCTGGTCTTGCCTTACCCTGCCTTTGGCATACTTTTGATAGTAAGAGTCAAATGGTAACTATAAACCTGATGCCCTTTTAAACTGAAGATCAACATACACAAACTTAAGGGATTATATAAATAGCACAGAGACAACCAGAAAATTGAAACAAAACCTTTTATTCAGGCAATGATGAACCAACTATGCTAGTCTATAATATCTTTTTCTTTTTTAAAAATTGTTATTAAATGGCTCAACCAAGTTGACACATAAGTATAGCCCCTTTTAACCAATATTAGATGTTTCTGAGGTACTTAGATTTAATAGAGGCCTTTTCTGTTGTCATGTGTCCTTATGACTTCTTTGTCCCAGTTCTTCTTATTTTTTTTTAAGCTTTAGTTTGCTTGGCTCCATAGTCAGCAGTCTTGGCACCAGCAGCCAGGAAATTAAAAGGCGCATTGCCATGGGAAAGTCTGCTGTCAGGGACCTCTCCAAAGTGCTGAAGAGCAGTGGTGTCTCTCTGGAGACTAAGGTGCGTCTGATACAGGCCATGGTC